CATGATTTAGCTTACGTGCGTGTGTGTATTAATGTGTGTGCGTTCGTGAATAAGTGTGAGTATGTTTGTGCGTGTGGGTGATTGTGAGTGTGTGTGTATGAGTGTTATTAGGTGAGTGTGTATGAGTGTGTGGAGGTGAATGTGTATGTATGTGTAGATGAGTGAGTGTGTGTGTGTGTAGGTGAGTGTGTAGGTGAATCAGTGACTGAGTGTGTGTGAGTGTGTATGAGTGAGAGAGAGAGAGAGTGTGTGTGTATAGGTGAGTGTGTATGAGTGTGTAGGAGATTTCTGTTGGACGAAAGGGCACATTAACGCAGATCGTGACACAAGTTCGGTGAAACTCTCATGTGATGATCCGCCATACACTCTGATCACATACCTGAGCAAACAATACTGAATTCGGAGTAAAACTGTTACTACATTGTTTACAGGTCACTGAATCACTCTAATGACTGAGCATGAAACTTTCAACTATACATACACTCCTAGCAGCACGCCTGATTGTACTCGCACACATAAAACCCGTCTTGGGAACTCCTGGACATTGTATTCATGTATATCTGCTCTGGTCCTCGTCGTCAAATGTTAATAGCTTTTCGTCAATACCATTTCACCAGTAGACATTTTATGAGATTTCGACATTCCGAAGCAGTAGAAATGACTGATCCTTGTCCGCCTGAGTGCCGCTGCAAGCTGATCCTAGTTTATTATGCGCCGTCATAGCTCGATGAATGGTATACGTTGTGTGATGTGAAAGAAACACAGCTCACTGTAACAACGTAATACAATAGTACAGACATTATGACTATAATGCATCAAACAGAAATAGATTGGAATGTTTGTTGAAGACTCTCCCAGGTCACTAGGTATGTAGGCGACTATGTCGAGATTCCAAGGCCACCATGAGACAGCCTGGGCATGATGGGCTCTAAGCTGGCGTTTACTCATTCATAACATTTTCCGACTGTAGACAGTTTTCACGGAAATGATGTCGTTCAAGGAATAAGAAGTGCACGTCCATATTATTACTCAGGTCTCCTCGTTTCGTCAGGAAGTCAAGGTCAACGGCACGACGTTTTTGTCTCGTGTTCATGGTACAAAGACGACGTTCGCCCAAACTTGAACGTCATTAGTATCATTTACTCCCCAGCAAACATTTAGACTCACTAGTGTAAATGTAGTCACTCACTTCACGCAACTGTTCTAAACTATATAGATTTGCAAAATATTCCTTAATGTTTAAAGGTACTGTCTAAACATGAACTGATGTATTGTAACACAAATTCGTAACGTTGAAAAGAATATTATCATGAGTTCAATACATGATGAAAATCAGTGAAAATTGGCGAATTCTTAACAAATCTTTACACCAAAACACAGCAGTTCACATGTACGATATTTGCACATGCATTTCAGAAATTTGATGCATGACCCTTGTGCAGTTCCCCCAAGTTAGTGGAGAAATTCATCTTCGATGTAACCACATATATATACATAACATATAGTGAGTGCTTTAAGTGAGTCTAAACTTTTGATGGGTAGTATATAACGTCAATTTATTTGGACAGTGACATCATTTGTATTTCGTTTCTATCACCTCGGAGAGATGAATAAGGGTGTAAAGATAATGACATTTTCAACTTTGTTCATTTCGCTCCGACAACTTGATTCCAAAAAAATCGTAATCCGCATTAAACTGGGCTTGCACTCTCAGCCAGCAAATGGTTGCAAACATACATGTACAATCCGAGCATGGTGTATTGCAAGCCTAAAACCGGAAATACTGACTGATGCCTGTTTGTCTGTCTAAAACATCATCTAAGCTAAACCATGGCGTGTTGGTATAGTAGTGTGTTATCGAAGTCTACACTGACGAAAGTGAAAGATCAGGAATTTGAATTATAGTCAGAGCGAATCAGGAATACGAACGTATGATAAGAGGATCCTGCCACATCTAAGAGAAGCAAGATTGCACAGCGAATTTCGGCACCTTAGATACTTAGTTCCCGTCCCTCTCTATGCGCAAGAGTTATGGCAAGTGATATCCACAAGACCGATTGATAGATCTATGTCAACTGTTTCATTTCCCTAAAAGGCGGAACTTATAAACATGGCCATAGCATGCAGCATTACCCGGACTGCATTAGATACACGCTGCTCAGTTCTTTATATAAGAATAAAAATAATCCCGCCACAGAAACCGGCATTCCTTCACAACAGAATAATGCAATGTACATATATTGCTCAGAGAAATAATTAAATAAACTAATTATACTAATAAATTTGTTTTATACTAACTAAGTTGTTTTGAAGATATGCGAACAAAGTGAAAATTTGTTGTTCGTGTAAGGTACATCAACACAGCAGACCCGTCTAGAGCTTTACGACAGAAACAAAACCCCTTTAAGAAAGTACGTGTAAGACCAGCTTGCACCTTAACAATGAGACGTGAAGTGTCGTAACGGCCTGTTTACATGTTGAGAAGGGTTGTCGACGACGCAAAGTTCACAATTATCTGTGAGTCAATGGTCCTACTTCTGCCTCAAGAGGTGCATTGAACGTCTGCAAGTACACACGCAACAATATAAGCAACGAAGTGAATACTGATTTCATTTCTCTGATATTGTATGGAGCACTTCATTCCTTTACCATTTCCATGTGCACATAAGTCCAGTGCTAACAAACAATGCATACACTCAAAAGCAAAGGAAACTGTGAAGTAGTTCAACTGAATATTGACAATATGTTTGAATACTACATAGCTGTGTATACGTTTACATCTGTCGTAACATACCAATACTATAACATACGTCACAGCAATGCAACTGTTCTAGCTCCCATACTTTAATATTAGCTGCATCGCTACATCTAGCCTAACCTTACTTCAAGTCTATACTGAATGCTGAGCCCATGGATATACAGTAATTCTATCCTTTAAATAGGCAAGTCTAGATAAGCGGACAGACGTATAAGGACGCCAGTCTGTTACTTATATTTTTTTCAGAAATTTCAGTTAAACTATTAAATATTACCTTAGAGACTTGTGCAAGTCTACATCTAGCTCACACACTTTAGTCCGAGCGTAGACTTGCACAAGTCTTTAAGGCTATAATTAATAGTTTACATTATAATTTCTAAAAAATATATATATTCCTCTAACAGACTGGCGTCCTTAGATGTACTGTCCGCTTATCTTGAGTTGCTTCTCTGGAGGATTGAATGACTATACATCTGTGGGCTCAGCATTCAGTACAGCCTTGGAGCAACGCTAGTCAGAGCGCTACACTAGCGCTGTGACCTTGTCCTAACGACGGGCTTCGACCACCCTGGCTATGGGCTGTACATGTGCTGTCCGCTACAGGCCCTGTTCGTAGCTACTGTCGAAGGAGTAGTTTATACTGGGTCACTCTGACTTTCCTCTCACACCGAAACTCGCCTGCCGTCATATTAGATCCCGAGTACCGTTTATGACGACATTGAACCACACTTCAGTATTTCCTCTGTTATATATGACCCGGAGCGTCGTTACGAGTCAAAACCCGTCCCAGCGTCCCATGAGCAGACTGATATAGGGAAGGGATGATCTGGCACAAACCCGTCCCAGCGTCCCATGAGCAGACTGATATAGGGAAGGGATGATCTGGCACAAACCCGTCCCAGCGTCCCATGAGCAGAGTGATGTAGGGAAGGGGTGATCTGGCACCATGGAATGTGGTAACTAGTTAGTCTCCATTACCTACATGCCGCTGGATATAGCTGGAATATTGTTAACCGTGGCGTAAAACATTATTCATGGTGTCATTCAGTTTACATGCGCTGCAAGAGATTAGTTCAGAGGGGAACACAAACATCATCACCAGTATATGGTTCATAAGAAAATGACTATAGATACTTCTGTGTCATGTTTACAGGTTTCTAGTGTGTAGCCAATTTCTGGTGTCCCCCGAAGTGATATTGCTAAAAGCGGTGTAAAACAATACTCACTCACTTGCAGGTTTTCAACAAATGGGCGGCGGTGGGTAAGTCTTGTTGTTAAAGCGTTCGCTCGTCACGCCGAAGGCACAGGTTCGATTCCGCACATGGGTACAATGAGTTAAGCCCATTTTTGGTGTCCCCCGCCGTGACACTGCTGGAATACATGTATTGCTAAAAGCGGCGTAAAACTAACTCACTCACACTCACTCTTACAAATTTGTGTTTTATTTGCCTAAACAGTGGGAATGCGAGGTCACCCCGACCTGGGCATGTGAAACGTCATTGCAAGAGACCAAAGAGTCTTGACTATTTTCACAAACAGATTCCATGTGTTGTAAAGGGGAATAGCTGTGGAAATATAAATCAATGAATTGCTAAAATATCAGCGAAAAGGGTAAGCATGTCCTGCCCTACCGGTAGCACCCACCATTCCCACAATTTGGCTACAAGAGTATTTACAGCCCGATTCTCCGCAGCAGCACTCCCGGCATGTGACGGCGGACTGTTAGCAAACCAGACAATCAAGTGATCGATAAACCAGAAAATCCAGTTGTGAAATTTGAATTATGACTTCTGTGTTGAAGTTCAGAGATTCATTGGAAAGTACATTTGTTGGAAGATACAGTAGGGGTCAGTTTTGATGTGTCGGGTCACACATTGTATTGATGCCAAATTTAATGTTGCTGAACTTATGATGAAACACGGGGACTTCAGCACATGAACATGGTTCTTACATGACCCTAAGTTCAGAGGGTACTTGGCTCTCTTGATCAGAACACAAAATATGTTTTAATTTAAATTTATTAACAGTAAGATCTGAAGAGGATTTGACCTATCAAAATGTGTTCCAACGAAAACACAAGAAAAGATATTTTATCTGTCTTTCGTCTTTGTAAGTACTTCAGCGCCAATCTATTTAACTACCATACACGCCTTCAGACAGCTTCCTTCAATGATGTATTATTGTCGCAAATATTCCGTCTTTGTCCTAGTCAAACATCTACGTTGTATTGTTTGGGTCACACCCCTCTCCCTTCAGATGGGAAGTTTCAAGATTAGCTGATGGAAAATCCCAGCCTGACATCATGGAAAGAAGCCTTGGTATCAACAAGATGGCCGGTGCATCTATTCAGTAAACATGTTAGATCCTGTTGAGAAAAAAGACATTCACTGTGCGTGAATAAAGAGAGTTAAATCGTTACGTAATATGGAGACTGTTCAGGAATCAATGGCTAGTTTCACTAAAGACTGGACTTTGAATGGTGTTTTCGTAGAAATGTAATTGACAGCATTCACCGCAACGATAAACATCATTGATGTGTGACAGATGTCTCGGACATTAGGCACGAAGCCAGCGCTAGTTGTCGATTGCAACATGTAGTGCAATTGATTTGAATGTCTACTAATGAAATTCATCACTGATGCCAACATTTGCTGCGATGTATAATGTCAACTCCTTATCAGTGAGGGACGGTAGCCTAGTGGTTAAAGCATACGCTCGTCACGCCGAAGACCCAGGTTCGATTCCCACATGGGTACAATGTGTGAAACCCTTTCCTGGTGTCCCTCGCTGTGATATTGCTGGAATATTGCTAAAAGCAGCGTAAAACTTAACTCACTCACTCACCTTATAAGTGATGAAGAAGGTTCGAACTACCGTACATTTACCATAAACAGTTGTCTTATTGAAATGTTGAAAGTCACGATAACGATTACTGGATTACCAGGGATAATAATTTGGGCGAACGTTTAAGCCAGGATCGGGACCTGAAAATAGGGCCAGAGTGTGTCGATAAAGGAGACGGTGAAGAGGATTTTTTTTTCATGCAGAACACAGGGATTATCCTTGCGATGGTACGAATAGTTACGTGTGTCAACGTCAACGCAAGACAGTAACCAGTGTCAATTATCAGTCGAAACAGATTCCATTCGGCGTAAAAAGGCGGTGAAAAGTATATCAATGGATAACTGAAAATCAGAGGTGATGAAACAATGAGATAGTTTGTATCTCGTATGTCAAAACGACAAAAGGTGTATATATTGTGAAATGGATTCCTCTGATGGACATTAAATAATGAACATTAAACGTGAGAGAATTCTACAAATTACAGTTACTAGACATTATAATCCTTTAAATCCAACCTTTCCATCTTACGTGTAACGTGTTCAAGCTGAACATATGGTTATGTCGATATGCCCTAAAATGTCTAAAATGTCAAGCTGTACGGGATATAGAGCTACTATATGACAGGAACATACAGTATAAAGTGTTTACAATTTTAATACACAAAATACATCTTTAGATCTAAAATGTTTAGGAATGTATTAAAACCCTACATGGAATACAAGTGTTCAATCTAAACACGTTTACGTGTTAAACACTATAAACAATGTCATCTCACCCCCTAATCACCATTTAAACACAAATTCTGAATTAACAACGAGGAGAGTTCTATGGATAAACAACTTCTTTAATATAATATGAGCGACGTTTCGGTGTAGCTACTAACACCGTTATCAAGCAAATGATAATACTGGCACACAAGTCTAAACTCCACCCGAAAATACGTGTAACCTTTAAAGACGTTAGACCCAAAATACGTTCAGTCGTTAAACACATTAGACCCTTAATACGATTAGCTGTTAAACATGTTTAGACGCCAAGTTTTGCGTTTGGATCTAAAGTCCTCCATAAAATGCAGTCGTCTTTGACCGGTCTGTTTGTACATGTATGGTGCGACACATGTGTGTGGTGTGGTTCCAACAATACATGCGCTATACTCGTGCTGTGTCGGATCCAAGCTTTTTCCTCTCTGATTGATGTTGATAGACGGATGTGAGACGTATCACGTAAGTTACGAAATTGGTGTTTTAGAACAGTGATAATTTAAGGCTTGACCTTTCCCAGCTTGTGTTGGGTCAGCGTGATCTGTCAACAGTATGCTGAAGGTCAGACGGCCTGTATTCGGGGATTCCCCGACGTTTCTCACTGCGGCATGTTGCCCAATTGCTCAAGTCAGATGTAACGTGGAAACATCGTCTGCTGCATATATTTTCCATCGGCCCACAGAAACTCAATTGATGATTGTCGATATGCGAAATAAAGAGCAAAGCCATGCATGTGAAACAAAACCTAATTTGAGTGTATAGTCCTCAACTGTAACAGCACCAGCTACGCCATACGTCGTTGAGTTACACAGCTCAACATTAAACACCCCTACCCAGGCTGACAGCCTTGATATCTCATCACCATCGCTGTAACGCAAGCAACTCATGTTTGTCGTCTGCTCGCATCCTGGTGACGTCATAACCTACGGGCATTCCTAATCACGAATATCCTCGGTTTGGCGGACCGACGTGGGAAAGTGTGTTTCATTTCTCTGTGTCATGTCCATATATAACCAGGATGTTACTCAACGAATACCCAGAAACCTGCAGAAACCTGACAGTCCAGGACAAACAACCAAACCAGGTTGTCACGGCCATGTTTATATTACTGGAACTACTAGAAAACAGGAATGTTTTTCACAAAAAACGAAACTGCATCCGAAACGAAACAATTCAAGATGATCGTTCTTGGCAGTGTGTCTACAGTAGGCTTGCTCCAAGGCTGAACTGAATGCTAAGCCCGTGGGTGTATAGTAATTCTATCCTATAAAGAGGCAAGTCCAGATATGCCATGTTTTGTCGAAGGAAGACCGCAGCTTTGGCCTAAGTCTGTCTCACAGTCCCTGAACCATATAATTTCCCCGCAACGCCTATGCTTCTCATATGTGTAGCCAAACTGAAACTTATGCTCGATAAAAGCACTCGAAATATTCTCGTGGTTTGCTTCTTTTCCAGTCCTGAAGTCAGATAAGGATCAGAGGTAACACAAACCTTTTCATCGTACATTATCTTTACTTGTCCATCAGCCAATAGTCGTTTACAATCAGTGCAGAACAGGCTGGTGTTTCACAGAGCCCACGCTACACAGGTGTTCTTGTCTAGACGAATCCACCATTACTGCTGATATTTCTGAATACATAAAAGGGTAAGATTAATTATATTGAGGTGAAAAAAGGGAAATTCTGTAGAAACATTGCCTTTACTGGTGGTGTTAGGACATTTTCATCATTTTATCATTTGTGACGGGACTTCATTCTCTAGCATTACCAAACTTTGGATATGTTGGATGCCAGTTAGTCAGCGGTCTAAGATGAGCTGATATAAAGCTCTGCCGGAATGACTTTAGTATCCATGTGACTTGTATGGTGTTGTGTATATGGTGGTGGTGAACGGTTGGTTTCTATAACAACGCACTATCACGAAATCTATTCATTTCTAACTAAACATTTTAACGTTTGGGTATATTCCACAAAAAACTTTATATTTTTCCACTGACAACAAACTATTCCTTTTAGACATATTTCTGGACAAAAACATTCTTTTTAAAACATTTTCAACTCCCAAATGAATGCTCCGTAAGGAAAATGATCCCGTACATACGTTGGTAAATAACTTTGTTTACATTCAGTCAGCCTGGAAGTAAAACTGCCCATATACCATCCCAGGTCTGTTTGTAGGGTCAGTGCCGAACTGAGGACAGGACCAGAAATGGTTGTTCACAAAGTATAAAAAATCCGTAAAAACATTATGCATAAAAATATCAAAACAATCTCGAACATATCCTTTAAGTGTACATAACTTTTTTGTGTTATTGACGTCACTCTCCTTGAGACTACAGAGGTAAGGGATAGGTCCAGACAGGTGGTGACTATAACATTGCCATGTTTTGTTGACGGGAATGACACGTTTTCTGACTGCAGACTAATGCAGTCGTGTTGAGGGTCATTGCGTCAGTGACGTCACTGCTATGCGTTACCACGAACTTCATTGTGTCAAGGGCGGAATGCATGTGTCCGATGAAATGCGTTCGGCATCACCTACCCCTGGCCGAAACCGGAAGTGCACGAATTGTCACGAAGGATCTGTGGAATATGTTCGTTTGTGGCATATTGTTCTGTACGTGTCTTAAACCCAGCCAATGAACTGTCAACAAAATATTGGAGCTAACATGGATTGGAGCTAACCGCTAGCATTGAGACAAATGTCAAAGGTTATTTTAATAATTTAATGTATAAAAATCAACGCCAGAGCATAAATAGTGTCGATTATATATATTTTAGTTTCAGCCTTAGAGGAAAAGTGCCATATTGAACATATGTACACAGGTACAAAAATAATTTTTGCAAAGTTATCACAGTTCAGGTTGCTGAAACGAGAAAGAAATAACCGTTTGCATTTGTCAATGTTAGCTGTGACTGTCCATTTCCCAGATTTCCAATAGTGGATTCTGAAGCAGATCTTTTATCAAAACCCTGTTCAGTGCTTGCAAAATATGCACTTGTAAGTGTACCTTCCAACAGACCAGCATATTGACTTTGAAGTCAAAGATTACTTCACATCTATAGGGCTGGATCTGAGTATCATTTTGAGCCACATTTTCATGCTTTTTCCCACTTTGGATGAAGATACCAGGATGAAGATACCCGGATGTCCTAAATGTCGTAAGGAGTCAATATTTGGCCTTGCTTTCTCACAGTATTCAATCTTGCTTAATAATGATGTTAGCGTCTACACAGTAACGTGGCATATAAAGGAGCTGCATGTCCATAGAACCATCTCACTTGTTCATCCCACCAACTTCTAAATGTCACTCAAAGAAGTATTCTCACAATACTTATTCCAATTCCCGTGTTTGCAAACATTATACATTAAGGCTAGCCCACCGTAAAATCAGTGGACGTGATTAATCGATTTATCACGAAGTTTACATTCAACGTTATGTCCTTTGCGATTTGCTATGGATTTTCAGTCTGAACAAACTACAACACAGGCAAATATCACACATTACAGAATAACATATTCAAGCTACACATATTCAAGAGTCACTTTGGCCAGTCGAGTATTTTTCTCGCTGTCCTTTCAGTACCGGAGCGTGGGCTGTTGGACATAAGTGACTGTCCAACCACGCAGACAATACGATGTCTTTACAATATCAATTCCATTCATATCCAGCAGCTCGGTTGGGGTTTAGGTGTAACATCATTCATTCCTCTTGCCGAAAGCATGGGTTCGATCCCAGACAACGGCACAACGTGTGAATCCAATTTCTCGTGTCCTTTCATGTCTATACTATCACGGAATCTGCAATTAATTCTGGAAGCTAGGACGTTACCCCAAATCCTCTTTTCACGTTAAGAACACTGTTAAGAGACTGGCAGATAATTTTATTTAAACCATGTTACATTATGATCTGTTAAAAGCTGGTTGCTATGAAACCTAGCAACTTGTCTCTTCTGACGGTAGTCTGGAGGCCATTCGGATAAAATCTTTGTCACGTGACAGTACTGGAGTCATTGTATACTATCCTGAAACGTGAAACTGGACAGCTGATCAGGTCAAGGTGCGACACAGTGGTCAAGATAATTTCACATAGCTACCATCGGTCAGTATACACAATCAAGGGGCCGCAAGTGACCCACGTGTATTGTATATACGTGGCAAGGTTGGAGATAACGTATTCGGCCTTGTGATAATAACCATTCCCATCAGACAAAACTACAACTGGTGGCTGCAAGAGACTCTCAAGTTCAGTGAATATTGTCTGAGGTTAAATTTTGAGGATTTTTTAAATTTTGGCATAGCTTACAACATCCACACAACGAAAGCTAAGTTAAAACCCTAAATCAGACCAATCTAGATACGACCCAATAATAATTATTTTTATCAAGATTAACGAATGTTCTGGGACAAACAAAAGAAGGAATCATAATATTGATTAAGATTAAGGATATGAGATAATTTATTTCTTTAACAGGAAATTGCAACGGTGGTTGCAGCGAATTGGAGCGAGATGGGGACCACTGAGGACGATTGGCTCAGAGTTCGGTTCCGAAGACAGTTTAGCGCCATGGAAACACTTTACATTTCATCATGAAAAGAACATAAAGAAATAATATTTTAGAAACTCTTAGCTTAAATTCCTCATTTTTTAATCGATTGCTGTGGCCTGTATTCACCAATGGATGTAATTGTTCAGCAGTACAATATATACTTCTCTTTCAGTGCGAAATTCCTGAGGTTTCTGTTTTTGTGGAAACTGGACGGGTCATCATGGTAAACCTGTCACCAAAATGTCATCACTACACACCGGAAATTCGCATTTCTGTACAGAAATAGATTGAACCACGCTTTAAAACCCTTCATGAATATATCTGTGCTAAATTACAGGTCGTGGTGACGATAAACGACATTCAGTCACTCATATTATACACCTACATGTAAAGTTGAGGTGAGGTGAAATTGGGTTTAACGTCGTGCTTGAAAATATTTCGCTCATATGACGACGTGCATGCGTGTGTGTGCGTGTGTATGTGCGGCTGCTTGTACTAGTCAATACTTAAGCTGGTTTTATAGTGCTAGCTCACTGAGATACCATGCCGCAGTAAAGCATGAATACCCCACTCAAACACAGTATACTGACTCCAAGCCGACCAGTCCTTGTTGTACCCATTAATGCCGAGCACCAGGCAGGGACCAACAAGTACCATATCTTAACGTATTTTGGTATGACGCGGTCGGGGATCGAACCCGCGACCTTCCGCTCTCTGGGCGGCCGCTCTAACCACTACACCACGGAGGCGGTCCCTACATGTAAAGGCAAAACAGGATAAACTTTCATCTCAATGTTCTTTCTCTTACAAACTTGTGTTCTGTGACGCGACCTTCTACTAAGTTTGGTTAGACTCAGCAGTGTAACGAATAATACTGAGTCTAAGTTTACTTAGACTGTCTCAGACATGACGTCAACAGCAACACAGGGACATTACTCTGGAGTGGACACAATTTTAAACGATTTGATTGGTCGAGAGACTGCAACTTGTAGTGGGAATTAATCGTTAATCGTTACGATTAATTTGTTGTGTTGTTGCAAGTGTGATGCATACAACCAATTGTTACTACAAATCGCACCTTGAGATCGCACGATAGAGCTGAAGCTAAGGTGATCGTAGCCCCCATACTTAAACATTGGCTGACTACAAGTCGCACCGTGAGATCGCACGATAGAGCTGAAGCTAAGGTGATCGTAGCCCCCATACTTAAACATTGGCTGACTACAAGTCGCACCGTGAGATCGCACGATAGAGCTGAAGCTAAGGTGATCGTAGCCCCCATACTTAAACATTGGCTGACTACAAGTCGCACCGTGAGATCGCACGATAGAGCTGAAGCTAAGGTGATCGTAGCCCCCATACTTAAACATTAGCTGACTACGCTCGCAGCGCTAAGATCGCTTTGTGGATCTGGGTCCTTGTCCATTTCAGTCGATTCGAGGATAAATAGCACACCAATAGGGACATATTCTTTTCCAAAATCGTCACGGGTGTGAAAAACAGGAAACATGTATAGGCATATGTTTACGTAAATGCCTTACATGTTCAAGGTCAGACTACTTGACACAGTGTCTATCGTGCTGTGCAATTGGTTTGTGTCGCAACAAGAAGGAAATGCGCTTCAGTCAGCTGTTTAATTCCTGGCATGTTTCTACATTGGGTGAGACTATTCATATCTTTATGATAAGACATGTCCGACTAATGTAGCCATCTTACCAAGTTCCAAAGGTAACCAGGCAACGTGACTACATATATGGAAGGTCAAGGACCGCGGGCGGTTACATGCAGTTTATTCACACCCATGTCGACGCAACCTTTCTGTGAATCTGTGAACAAGAAGGGCAGTCGGTGTTGGCTTACAGTGTGAAGTTTTAAAGGGGCAATACCTTTATGGAGGGATTTTTTTATGTATTTCGTCTGAATTCCTTTTCATATGAAACAATAATACATGGTACTTTGTATAAGAGGTGCTATGTACGTTTCTTTACGCAGTCTTGAATTAAATTGTCAGTCAGCAATATTCCAGTTGTTTCACGCTGATTCGTCATTGTGAACGATACGCCATTTCGCAAAGTCCGACCATCCGATCCCTGTTGGATGATACGCCATGTCGCAGAGTCCGACCGTCCGATCCCCGTTGGACGATACGCCATGTCGGAGAGCCCGACTATCCGATCCCCGTTGGACGATACGCCATGTCGCAGAGTCAGACCATCCGATCCCCGTTGGACGATACGCCATGTCGCAGAGTCAGACCATCCGATCCCCGTTGGACGATACGCCATGTCGCAAAGTCAGACCATCCGATCCCCGTTGGACGATACGCCATGTCGCAGAGTCAGACCATCCGATCCCCGTTGGACGATACGCCATGTCGCAAAGTCAGACCATCCGATCCCCGTTGGACGGTGGGCCTTGCATGTCGCAGAGTCCGACCATCCGATCCCCGTTGGACGATACGCCATGTCGCAAAGTCAGACTATCCGATCCCCGTTGGACGATACGCCATGTCGCAAAGTCAGACTATCCGATCCCCGTTGGACGATACGCCATGCTGCAAAGTCAGACCATCCGATCCCCGTTGGACGGTGCGCCTTGCATGTCGCAGAGTCCGACTATCCGATCCCCGTTGGACGATACGCCATATCGCAAAGTCAGACCATCCGATCCCCGTTTTAACGGCTTGGTGAGATACTGGTCATATAAGCTGACCTTGAATCCCAACAGGAATGACGATTACCATGATGTCTACGAGACAATGACACATTTCCACAGCGACTTCAAGTAGACTGGACTGAGAACCTAGTTATGGATTCGTTTATCCACAAATGGACAATATGCTTCAAATGCTGCTTCAAAACCATATTTACCCCAACGAATCTTGGACCCATGCCACACATGCGAAATTAATGTGTCTGCCTATCAATCTATGTCAAACCAAAATAGATTCTCGCAGGAAGTGTTACATTACACGTCTGCAGTGATATAATGTTATCTGCTATAACAAAGTCTCAAGAAGTGATTGAAGTTGTCTGACTACATAATGTAGTAAGGACGAACCAGCGTGATGTCTGGCGCTATTTTCAGACGTTTGGCTGCAGTTATCATATCATAGCTGTATTTATAATAACCTTGTCATAAATAACACCTAGACACGAGTGTCTTGCTGATTTGTAAATTACCGCTCTGCGCTGGAATTGTGATGCTGTAAGTTCCCGGGCCACTCAGTGGTACCCTGCAGATGATGTTTAGATGTCGTGTGAAGACATCTCGGGTGAGACCCAGTCTCAAGTCATGAAACAACGTATCTCCACCTGACAAAGAGTGATGCACTACTGTAGATGTCTTAAACTCACTGAACAAACACGAAAGATATCACATTCGAGAAAAATCAATTTGGGTGCCATTAGGTGTACCCCCTCAGTACATTGTTTTAAGTGTTGTTGACTTGACACACTGTTGATAACAGCTGTTCACGATCTACTTGTTGTGTGCCCGGGGCATTTACAGTAGCACTTTGTGGTAGTGTATGATTGTTCTCGAAGGATTTTCAAAAGAGAATTGGTTGTAATAAAACGTTAGATAAACATTCCACTCCCAGCGGAACAAACGCAGTGGATAATTATACCGATAAGAATACCTCTGCATAGCACTTCTACCATATTTGACTCGGATCTCCCTTTGTGTGCGGAGTTTTGTCTCATAGGGGTGCGAGAATTCCGGGTTCGAATCGCGTTGTTTCGAGGTTTGTACCCCTCAGGTGTACAAAGTGGTAAATATCTGTCACCAGCATTATTTGGGCTTCCCTCCACTACCAATACATCACGATCTAATGTCACTTGAGTACTGCTCAAATAACTTTCAGTTTTGTACTTCGTTCATGCGTAAACCAGCGGCCTCATAATAACGAAGTTGACATCCACAAAAACTCTCTTCCTTACTTTGCTTTACCGTGAATAAGGGTTCCAGCATTCTCTTCCCACAGAGGTTACTTGTCATATCTTCCTACGAAAGATCGGAAGAGAATGGGGTTCCAGCTGAAATCGGAAACCGATACAGGGTTTGGCTGTCCTAATGAAACCGCAATCAGACTATACTTTCGAAACTGTATCGGCATTTAGATCCTTACAGACACTTCGAACCCAAAAATCCGTTTAGATGAGATGTTCCAGTCCACTATATAAATGTGTAAGTCTTCTGTTCCCTTTATAACTCGTGTGCCTTGTGTGGTATTCTGACATTATTGCGTTGAATGTTAATGGCACCTAGAACTGAGATTAGAGATTAACTTAGCCTGTCTCATCGTCCCGTAACTCCCTTCCGCCCATCCCTCTCTGCAATGCTTAAAGCCCTAAAGTCTAGATTTCCTCAGGTCTAGATCTCACTGGGGCTCCTTTTCAATTTAAAACTAATTATATGTTTCTATCAAAATCAACCGTGAAGATCCGGGTTAGAATTGATCTTCAGTAACCCATGCTTGTCGACTACTGGGATCGGGGGGTCAGCTTCGCCGACTTGGTTGGTACATATCATCATATCCCAATTACGTAGATCGATGCTCATGCTGTTGATCACTGGATTGTCTGGTCCAGACTGTATCATTTACAGACCGCCGCCATATAGTTGGAATATTGCTGAGTGCGGCGTTAAACAAAAAAACAACCAACCAACCAGTTAAAATCATATATATCCAGAGACTGAGCGTTAGTCAAAGATTACGTTAACAGGATAACACGTCGTTTGCTCCAGTGTACTGCATGTCTATTGTGTGTGTCTGAGATAAACATTTGTTTGCTTTTGACTACGTAACGTTATTGCTACAAGCTGCATTCATTATACAACTATTACATTAGGACGAAGATAAGATAGCTCTAGGCACGAATGAACATGTCAAGTTGTGTTGGGGAAGAGTTCATACACGTAGAAAATGATGTAGTATTGACGCCAAGTGTGTAGTTAGCTTATGCCTTGACTTCATACTGTTCCTTGGTTTGTTTGTTGTTTGCAGCAATCCTAGGTATTTAGACAAACATATGGAATACAAACCTCACCCAGACGCTGTCTGTTAACGCCTAGCGTGAATATTATTAACGTCGTAATAAGTATCATTAACTCAAAAGAACATGCGTGTCCTTTTCTTTGTTTCTGTTTTACGGATGATCTTGAGTCCTTATTTGCAGACCAGAGTTGCTTGACTTTGACGTGCCAGGATCCTGTGAACAAGCTCAATTCCCAGATTGGACATGGACATGGTATTGTGGGAATCATTACTGTAAATGTATCTGGTGCTAAGTGTATTACTTGGAGTTT